CAGACTGGTGTAATAATAAATATCCCACTGCAGACGGGTGTACTAATAAATATCCCACTGCACACTGGTGTACTAATAAATATCCCACTGCAGACTGGTGTACTAATAAATCTTCAACTGCACACTGGTGTACTAATGAATCTGCCACTACGCACTTTTGTGCAAATAATAATCAGCCTGTAGGCCTACACATATAGCACTCACTAAGCATCTCTCCATTGGTTAGTTACTGCTTTAGATTGAGTTCATAAAATGTTTTTATTTTATTTCAATTGTTTTACAGAAAGTAAACTCAACCAAACCAGTGTAGGATTTCACGCATGTAAAATATTTGACTTAAGTCTTCGATGTTCAAATATAGACAAGTACACAAATGTTTCAACTAACTATGGAAGCCACTTTAATCCGTCGTCAGGAGAATTTACTGCACCTCTACATGGATTATATTTAATAAGCATTTATATGATTGGAATAGAAAATAAAATAATCATTTCACCATTCAATATTAAATGTAATATAAAGTGTATTCAGAAATTGAAAATTCCACAATTTATATTTGGATATACCCGTGAACTCTGCTCTGTATCTGACAACGAATGTGTGACATATTTAGTTGAATTAAAAGCAGGTGATGAGCTATTTGTGCAATTTGAAACTAAGGAGGAAGATCTCGGTGGATCTATTTGGATTCAGTTTTCGTGTTTTATGATGAAATAATGAGGACATTAAAATGTCCATGTTTGCTGATGTGTCATCAAAATAAATGTAACAGCCACTGTTTTATAATATGTAATTGGTTAACCATTTTTTATTTAAAACACGTGAATAACAGGATGCAAGATTACAATCGGTTTGATTTGTCAACAGTATAGATTCTTGAAAGAAATGAGTGGCGTTACAAACAAGAACAATAAATTAGGAATTAAAGTAGATGTCAAGCGTAAAAAAAAACAAAAACCAGATTTTTTGCGAAAACAAAATAACCAAAGAAGTAACACGAAAAAACAATTGTGAACATTGATCGAGATTGTCTGGAAAGGAGTCGCCGAAACTTCTGGCCAGATAACACAGCATTGTTGACTGTTTGGCTGAAGAACTTCTGGAGTTAAATAAATAACTACAACGTTCTTCTTAATATTTCTTGGTTGCAATATTAAGAATGTATTAAAAAAAATAGATTCAGTAGCGATCAGGTAACCTAAGTATATGCACTTGAAAACTCTAGTATTTGTAATTAGACTACACAGTAATTTTTAAACAAAGTGTAGGTAGACATTAACAAACTTTGCAATGCTGGGGTTTAAGTTCATAGTTTCTTTATTGATTTTCTATCTACCACAATGTTTAATACAATTTTTCTTTTCAAATGGTACATTTGATAAAGTTTACTAACTTCATTGTATGTCTGTTATTGTTAACTCATCAATTTATTTTTATTTCGATTTTTTTTTTTTTTTGCTTCCTCTTATAAAATATATAGCCCATTTTTTATCGGTCCTAGTATTTACGTTTAGAAATATTTTTTTAAAAACAATCAACATTATGAATCTGTATTTGTTTCTAAAATTATTTTATGGTCTTTAATGTAAAGATTTCAGAAATTAAATGTCTCCTAAAAATAATAAATATCCTTTGTTTTTTATAGTCAAATTAATCAGCACGTAAGTAAAATAGTTTCCAGAAACCGTATGCCACCCTGAATGCTTCAACCGTAATTTGTACAGGTTTTAAACGTTTTCAAAGGTGTTTGGCCGTACCATCTTTTGTTCAGTTTTTCAATATACTTTGTAGAGCTAGCTGCATTTAACGTCAGTTTGATTCACTGCACAGCCTGATAGAGATGCTCCTGGATTAAAGTTTAAAATGGCTTTTGTAAAAAAGAGATTTGTGTTCAGTTCGGTGTGATTACGACGAATGAACGTTTAAAGAATTTGATAAAATAAACCAATCATTAAAGGATCACAACAATAAGAAAGATGTATACATAAAAAAATGTTGTTGTTTTTTTAATCATGTATGCAAAAAATTCATACAGATGAAAGAAAACAAAACACACTAAATTTTAATTTTTTACGACTTTTTATTTTTTCTCTAAAGTTTTTGTTAAGTTGTATAATTTTTTCTTGAACTTTTGTATTGTTTTTCATCAAAAAATGTTGCATATATGGGCAATCACAGTAATTGGTGTTTATTGTAGAGACAAGTCCATAAACAAACATTGGTAAAATTTTTGAGGACAATAATCCAAGAGAAAAATGGCAGACAATAATTTAAGAGATTATACCAAAACAGGTTTTGAAAGATAACAAATCTGGGACCGAAGCCTTGTTTCCGTGCGAATGCCACAAGTTTAATTAAGTTGACGTGGCGAAGACTGAGAAAAAACAAATGAACCTCTTTTTTAACAGTTTCAGCAGATACATTAAAATTTTGTCTTGAATAAATAACCTTTTGTTAATCGTCTTAAAGACACATGTCGTCTTTTGCGGTAAAAAGATGAAGAAGCATATTAATTTCCCAACCCCCCTCCCCTCCTGAATTTTTCCTCAATTTTATGAGTTATTTTGTCGAGTATACAGGACGTATTTTTAAATTGTAAATTTCAAAAAAAAATAAGTTAAAGCCTCATTACAACACATAGAAATGTTTTTGAACATTTGCTTTGATTCCTTGCATATATATTTATTCAGTTAGTAGACGTTTTAATTAAATAAAAGAATGATAAATACACGATGTAAATGTATCAAAAAAAAAACATTGGCTTTAAAAAAAATTTCCGAATTAGAATATGGGATACTGTTACAAGATTTAACAGGCTATGCTGTTATTGTGTAATACAGCTGAAATTTCATTTTGACCTGTTGAAAATCATGTTCATACCATTATGAAAAACACAGGTAATTTTAACCGAAACCATTACAGACATTCAAATACTTCTTTTTTGTGTGGATATAGTTACTTTGGCTTAAGGACACATCCCATTGGGAACCGATAATTTTTTTCATTGCCTTCTAAACCCGTTCAGTGTTTCGAACACCCAAAATCCTAGACATAATTAAATCATTATATACTTTTACCAGCTGTTCAAAGCTTAAATGCTCAGAAAATATCTTTTAAATGTTTGCTTGGAATAAGTTATTTTCATCCTTTTTGTATACATACTTAATACCCTGCCACACAATGGGTTCCGTCAATGCGTGTACTTCAAAACATGCCTTGATGTAACACACCTTAAAAGCTTACAAATAAGTTCTTCCAATACTTCATAGAACGCCCCCCCCTCACCCTCCCTCCCCCCTAAATTAAATTAATATCTTAATGTCCCACCACTCATTTAATAAAATTTAAAAAGTCAACTTTACCTTTACAACTTTTTTTTCTTTTCTTTTTTCTTTTCTTTATATTTAATTTCATCAGGGTAACAATTTTAATTAAATTTTCTGTAATCAGAGTTATTTACTTTTTCAATGCATTTCAAAATAAAGAATAAAGTTTTCAAGAATATTGTGGTTGTTTTGCGACAAAAAGTAAATACCAAAAAAATTGATGTTATTTTTGTCTCATTTATAAAGTAATACACTTTATATACTTTAAACCTTTAAAAAAATAACAAGTGACAAGTTTATATGAACAAATAGTCGTACATTTATAGAAAAATGTGAAAATGTAGTTTTTTCTTATTTTCCCCCTCTTTTAAATGAAATACAAGTGACGATATTTGAACTGATAGAAAAAGAAACATTTTGTTTGAAATTTTTCCGTAAATTTAAAATAGGTAACCCAAATACAGTTGTTTGTAAAACATTCTCTTATACTATATTTAAAAAGCTGTCATTTTCAATGTGATATTTAAAAATAATTGATTTTACAATTTATGTGTTCACAAAATTAAATGAAAAAAAAAAAGAAAAGCTGTTTGTTGTCTTTGTACATGCAACGAAATACGAAAAAAAAAAATTCATTTACCATAAATTTTAAATAAACTTTTCATGTGCAAAAAGCTTTACGCCTTTTGGATATGCAACCCTTCTAGAATCTACCTACTTTTTTGCTATGCATAGACTCAGTAGCTGCTAATACTTTCCTAAATATTCCCTGTGGCCCAGACATTATTTTTTTAGAATGAGCCAAAATGTGATACGTTTGAATATTATTTTGTAACTTTTTTAAATACTTTTAAACTATTGATAATAACATGCAAAAAAAAAAAAATATCTGTTCGAAATTGGATAAAGATGTTCAAAATATGTATGTGTTTATCTAAACTTTTTCATTGACAGTGGCACACTAGAGGATTCTGTGGCTAGCAAAGTGTCAAGACGATCTTACTAAATTAATATATACATTTACACTGGTCTAAAACATGTCATACCTACAGGCTCCTTGAGGCATACATTTAGAGCTATTGTAGGCCTATATCCTTCAACAATTTCATCCCCGCTTTCTCATTAGCACCAGATACATCTAATTCAAAATTAAAGCTCAATAACCGTTTCAGAACAAAACGTTTACTCAAGCGGGTAAGTCGTCATCGGCAACAGCGCTAGATAGCGCCATGGAAACAATAGATACAGATCCGCACAAAAAACTCAGTAAGTGGTCAAATTTCATAATTTAAGAGGCAAAATAAATTAGACTAACAAATAAACATTTTGCCCGATAATTTTGTGACAGTTTATATCCTCGTTTATATTAGATACCCCCCTATGTAGCAAATAGATGCTATTGGGCCAAGAGGAAAAAAGTACGTCACTGCAAAAAGTAACGCCCGGCACTGTGTGGGCTAACAAATAACATATAATAAAATTCAATTTATAATGACTTTTGGTCTGTTTTTTGTGTGCTTTGTATTAGAGGCCGCCCCCACACTCGTTTTCCATCCATTCTTCCTAACCATCAACATTAATTAAGCCTTAAATATTTCGAATGAAATGTTTTACTACGTTTTGATAATGTTAGAATTTTTCCCCCTGGACTTTGCATAACACTTGGAAATTCCCGATTTTACAACGTGTTTCTAAGTAAGATGGTCACCTTGGTTCAAGGTGCTTTTTGACACATATATATTGCAGGTGTTGTACATTGTATTTCATCTGAAATTTAAAAAAAAAAATATTTTTAAACGTTTTGGCAAATATAAAATCCGTTCGATCTTTTAATTTGCAGATCAATGACCGAAATGTATGTTGACATTACAAGGTGTCTTATAAATACTTAATGTAATGTTCTAGAATTTGGTTTTAGTTTCAGTTTCAAATTAAATATTAATCCATCAACTATCCTAATATTTTTTTATCCATACTTGTATCTATAGGTATCGCTAAATTAAACAGTAGACTTATTTTTATTTCTTAATAATTTTAGATTTTGAATATCTAAATTAAGTGAAACGCATGCAAATAGACTAAATAGACCAAAATGAAGTGAATCCAACAAATAAACTCTTAAATGTATGTTAGATATAATGATTTAAATTGAGTCTATACAGACGTTTAATTTTTCAATTAAAATGTGCATCTATTTTCTTTATATTATTGATTTTTTAATAATGCAAGAATGCATTGTCTCAAAAATATTAATACAATTGTGTTTGCAATATCCTATAAAACGTGTGATTTGAAAAGAAAAGAAAATTCTAAAACTAATGATTAACTTTCTGTAATTGACATTCTGTTTACCATGATGTTTTCTAAGTCAAACATTCCTCTTCAACACCCAAACAAATATAATTTATACCTTAAACAAGAGTATTTTTTAAAAAAAATATAAGATTGTGTTTTTTGGTTTGTTAGTGTATTTATACGTTTGATTGGAGATGTATTTTAGAATATCTTGGCTACAATCATCATAATTAACGTTTAATTTTCATAATTGTCAATTATATATATATATATTAATATATATATATATATATATATATATATATATATATATATAATAAAATAGAGAGAAAGACACAAACACAGAGATATATAGACATAATAAAACAACATATTGATATACACAAGAGAGAGAAAGGTGTGTGGAGTTCACACGTGTGCTCTTTCTATCTCAAATATATATATATATATAAATATATATATATATATATATATATATATATATATATAGTTAATCAAATGGCCAGCAAGACACAAGTTCAGAGATTTATAGACATAATAAATCAACATTTTGATATACTCAAGAGAGAGAAGAAAACTGTGCTGGAAGCAGTAGATGATGCTATCAATCAGGTAATTGGTTATTGGAATACGCTGTTTTTAAATATTGAAAGTTAATTTATTACAGCGCACATTAAATATTAGACATCAAACATTAACAAAAAATATATAAATTTAGTTATCATTTTGTATCTAATGTGTAGGTACACATTGAAGTGGATGCCTGGGTTAATGGAGGACTTGTTAATCAAACAACGTGTGCCCAGATGAACAACAGGATTACGCAAGTTATAAATCTGATTATGACTAAGTCTATTGAAATTTCTGGTAATTTACAAAACGACTTAATGTCCAAAGCTTATATGTTGAATATTGTATGTATTAATTGATAATTGAATAAGCATTAATGTACTTAACTTTCATCTTTTTAAATTGTAAAATGTTATATAATCAATTTTAAAACATTGCTAAGAATTAAAATGATATGGATGTAAAATGAAAAAAAGTTTAATTATGAATTCCATTAAAATGTTTATAATTTTATTAATATATTTAAGAATTATAAAAATCTCTATCGCATAACTATACTTTCAACATATTCAGACCTACAAATTAAAGAAAATGAAAGTGATCTAAACCAAGCACCTTCTGCAAATAGCAATATTTCAATAATTCCTAAAACCAGTTACACAAAGGAAGAAGTCAATGAGAGAGCGATGTTTGGAAGAGAGGAAACACAAAGGACATCAGGTGAAACATTTTGTTAAAAATTGTCTTTACTTAATAATTGTGTTCATTTGTTTACATTTAAATGTATTTAATTCAACGGGCTTTTCAGCAATTATATGTTTAACTCTGAGTATTTGATTTTGCAGTAAATGGCGAAGATAATATAAAGAATTTCAAGAGAAATCATTGTCTGACGCATTTTTACACTTTAAAGTCATCTGTGAGTCTACCTTTGTCTTCAACCCTGCTTGTTATTTCTTCTTAAGGCTCTGAATGATACTGTCAAAATTCCCTGGTTTTCTATAAATTCCAATACCTTTCCACAAGTATTTGCGGTCCAGGCTATCAAATGCCTTTTCGAAGTAGAAGAAATTGAGATGTAGGGTTTACTGCCATTCGATGGACTGTGCTAAAATGATTCGTAGTGTTGTAATTTGATCTGTTCTTGGGCTGTTTCGGCAGAAACTAATCTATTAATCTCATAGGTGAATATGGACCTGGTCCTTCATTATTTTTAGAATAATGAGATGACAAAATTCTCAGAGCAGTGTAATTCCTCCGTAGTTTTCCCAATTGCTAAGATCCTGTTTCTTTGGTATCCCGACAAGTTATAAGTATTTACAACCTGTTACAACTCCTTCTTGTTCCAATTTCTTTTCAAATATAAATTGTAGCATGCTGACTATTAAATATATTTTTTCTCTCATCATCTCTGCTGTGATGTTTTACGGTCTGGGCTCCTTCCTAAATATAAGATGTTTGATAACCAGGGATATAACTTCCTTATTTGGGGGAGTGTCTTCTTTTAAAACAAAATTGTTATGTGCTACTTGTATAACTGGTGTGTCTTTGGGTGGAGTTCTGCTTAATAATTTCTTATAATACTCCACCCATATTTGTTCTTGTTTTTTCCTTTCACTTACTGATTTACCTACCTTGCCTTTAACCAGTCTCTTTTGCTTCTTAAATCTTCCTGGGAGCTTTCTTGTTATATACTAAAATTCTTTCATGTTCCTCTGTCTGGTTGCTTCTTCTGCTGTTGACGCTATACCATAATATGATAGCTCTTTTATCCTTCTAAAATTTTCTCTCTACCCAACCATTGGCTTCTTTAAATTTCTCCTTTGCTTTTGTTCTCTCTGCTGTGGTGCGTCTGTTGTTTACTGCACACTTCATGTCTTTCCTCTCATTCACTTTCCGCACGGCGATGAGTCAGAGCCAATCTTTGTGTTTTTTCCTTCTCTGGTCCGAATAACTCGTTGCACGTTAATGTTACATGTTACGGACATCTTTATGATTTGCGGTTGAAGCTCTTTCTGGTCATCATCTTTTTGGTTGTGCAGTAAATAAAGCTTCTTTTTCATTTTAACTCTTGATTTTTATCATGTTTGCCAGTAGTGCCATTTTTGTATTTTAGTCTTCTAGCAGTTGTCTCTTCTCAGTTTTTCTTGAGTTTTAGCATAAGTCTTGCCAAAACTAGAGTTTTATCAAACATAACATCAGCTTCACTTTTGAGAAGTCTTCGGATCTTTTTGCTTTGCTTATGTGACCAATTTTTTTTATGTGCTGTATTCTGTGAATAATCCCATGCTGTGATTGGCAGCCACATATAAAAAACGCAGAAGACTGTTAGTCTTTTGACGTCTTTAATTCACGTTTTTAACAAAATTGCGCCCATTTATTTCTTCATTCCTATTTTTTTTCTTTCCCGGTCTTAGCATTTAGACGTCTCATTATGACAACAAAATCTCTACCTGAAAATTTGTTCTGTATTTCTTGTACTTTAATGTAAACTTGATATGCCTTAATATCGTTATTATATGCAAAGCATTGTATTACATTTATATTTCTTTTCTTTTGCTTGGTTCAGAAGTTGTTGTAATAATTCTCGAACATGGTATTTGAATTATATCAATCTTCTTAATGTCAATAAAGAAACGAAGAAAATGGGTTAACAAGAGACGGTGTTATGGAGGAATAATTTCAAATTTGTATTCCAATCTCAATAAGAAATCATCAATATAAGAACATTTATGAGACTTATAATTAATTTCACACCTTTGAATACTATTGTTAAAAGTAAATTCAATACATTTTGTGGTCTATTTACATACAGGTATAGATACGTCTTGTATTACTACTGCTAGATTTGTTATACTAGAGGAAGCTGTACTCTCACTTAAAAAGGCAACAGAACATATTCAAGAAAAACAAGAAAATGTCAACAAAAAACTGGAAATATTAATAAATGCAAATTTAAAATCAAAGAAAAAAAATCAAGAAAGAATTACTGTACTTGAGAAAAGAAACAAAGAAATTTCCTTAAATGTTGATGATTTGTTTGAAACTACAAAAAATTTAGATGACAAGTTAAAGAGATTAGAAGATGAAAATAAGCCTGTCAATGTCTCAATGAATGAACTCAATAAAGAGATCAGCTCTGTTAGAACTTGTAGCAATGACGCCCTTATGTCTATACAAGACGTGTCAAAGAGCGTCGAGAGTACAAATCAACATTATAATGAAATGTCTGATAAAATGAATCAACTGGAAATCTCCATTAATCTCATGTCAACTCAGTACACAGAGAAGATTGATAATATGGAACGCTTAAATAAAGATAAAGTTGATGATTTGGTAAGATTTTTCCCCATCAGTGTCTTTTATAACAAAAATCCTAACAATCCAATATATTTTATGCGATTTAACTAAGAGGAATACATAATACAAAATCAAAGGCTAAAAATCAAAGAAAGTAAAGCATGTTTAATATACAATTTTTTTATAAGATTAAAGTAACGATAAATGGGGGGAAATCTATCAAAACAGGATGAAAAAAAAGAATTAAAAGAACAATTTTTTGTAACTTTTTTTTTTTTTGTGTGGCACACGTAGAGTTATAAAATGTCTGATTTCAGTAACTTTTTTTCTAAACGTTTTAGACACCTTACATTTCTTTACCTCTGTACATTTTCAAGTTCGATTATGTACAATAAACTTCGGAACAATAAAATCTACTTCATTTCGCTGGATAAGCAGTAGGCCTATATTTGTTTTTAAAAATTCCGACCAGTCACTGTAGTAAAATTTTATTTTCATAAAATTTATAAGAAAAATGGTTTTTATATGCTCTTCAAAATTTAAAAATCATAGTAGGTTACATTTGGTAAAATAGAACAGTAGATTGTCAAATTTCTTAATGCTGACTTTCCGAAACTTCGGATATACGAAAAACCGTTTTAATTATTTTTACTTATAGCTATACACCTGTTTTTTATGTTAAAGAAGAAATATCGTGTTACTTTGTTAAATTGATAAAAGAAAAATAAACTTCTTTTTCAAAGTAAATAGCCTGTTAGATTTGTAATTGCATGCCTTCCGAGGAGGGATAAGTTAATTATTTCCCATTTTTCAGCACAAAATATTTTAAAAAAAAAATTTTCTTTTGTGAAATTTGGAGGTTTTATTCATTGTTAATAAAAGTTTGTTATGCAGATTAATATTATAATTATAATAAATTTAATTTAAGTCCATTTAACATCCACTATTTATTTAGATCTGATAATATTTGCCTTGTGCATAGATTGGTATGGTTTGTCAACTGCTGTCTAAACGACTTGCTCCACTGGAAACATTAAATGAGACTCTAAACAAGAAGGTCATCTTGAGCAAAGAACATATTTCCAAGGTATGAATGTACTTGTAACTAGCTTTACTACCTTGTGAATCGTGGGTTATTACGTATATGTTATGTCTTTAGTTAAGCTGTTTTTGTTTTGCAATATCTTCTTTCCTACAGTTCTGAAAATCAAAATTACAAATATGCTGTAAACCATTTCAATATTAAAAAATATATTAAAAAATTCATCTTGTGTGTGTTTTTTTTTTACATCAAATACTAAGAAAGTCAAATTTGAAATAGCGTTGAATGTTTAGAATACTCAATTATGCACCATTTAAAAATGTTTTTGTATAATGATATATTAAGTGTAAGCAATAAAAAATTATTATATTTTTAGAGTGAGCAGAAGCGTATATGTTACAATTCATTACACAATTAACAGCACATTAAGAAATAAAATGAAGAGAAGATATGATTTTTGTTTATCTTAAATTTAAAAATGAGAATTATGAAGGGGTTAAAATCATTTCGTGGCTGGAATCTATCTATAGGTTTATTATTATTATTTTTTTAAGTGGTTTAGTATAGCGTGGTAACCCAGCCTAGGGCTGGGCTCACCTCGCTGCACATACAAATTAACAAACATAATCAAGAACTTAAAAAAATTAATTAACATACATTCTTTAAATTAAACAAAACAAATGTATATTTAAAACTCTTTACTTGTCAAGCTATTGACGACACCCAGCAGCATCGTTTTTCAATCACAGGGGGAATCAGTCAGGAAAGTAGGCTATATTACAATTGCAAACAAAAGGTTTAAGGCTTCATAAAGGACCAAGTGTATCTGCAATTTAAACAACTATTTGTATCATTTGTTAGAGTGTAACTTAAAAAATTAAAATTAAATTTGAGATAAGATGATGTTCTGATTTTAAATAATTTATATCACAATCCGTTTTGATAAACATTAATTTATTAATGACTAGATTTAATTTTAGAGACGTATTAGGGGATGAATGGTTTATTACTTTAGGTATTTCCACGGAAAAATTTCTAAACGGGCAGTTAGGGAACAAGTATGCCAAAACAAAGAATTCACTGGTGAATATAAGTGTGTTTTTTGTTTGTTTCATTATATTATTTTTTGTTCAACGTGTAAACGTATTGTGTTTGATAGAAAAACCGATTCAATTAAAATAAATAGGCAGTAATAAAAGGTACTTAATGGTAGTGGGTTTAGAGTTTATGTAGTTTGATTACTCATAGCATGGATGCTACACATCTAAGATCGATCAACATTCTTGACACATTGCTAGGCATAAATTAATTTCTTTCAGGAAAAAAACAAGTTTAATATTTTTAAGGACCTTATTACCCGTTAAGCTTTAATTGATAACATTTAAATAAATTAAAATAAGATTTTCTAATAAAAGGCAAGAACATTGCAACCTTGATTATTAGTATTACTTTTAGAAATGCTTTAGTCTTTTAATGTGTTGAAACCTGTTTTGTTAATATGACAATTCTCAGAATTTAATAAATTTTACATAATTCATGAATTAGATTAAAATAAATTAGATCTAAACTTAAGAAATTAATAAGAAAACTTACCACAAAAATTTCCAGATGAAACTGTTACTGTATGAATGTAAAAGGAGGGTTTTCATTTGCTTCTTTCTTTTTTTAGGTAGAAGCTATTGATACACAATTGGCGGAAATATCTGGTAAAGTTACACTAATTGGTAAGATAGTTTGATAAATATCGGTTGAAGTGGAGATATTAAATACTTTAAATCTATCAACAAATCTGTTATCAAAAGCACTGGTTTCTTTCTTCATTTATGTTTCATTCAGCATATTAAAATAATCAGTATTTTTTTTAAAGCTTTTTTTCCCTTCAATAAGCCGTTGTGTTATCAATAAATCACAATGCTTTATTAAATTGAGATTATGTCTATATGATGACATTAAATATACATCATTGACTTAATTTTATTCAGAAAATTTATAAACAACGCTATGAAAAAAAGCCTATAGCATATGATATCTATAGATTTTTTAATTAAATCAAAATTTGCAAGTTTATCTTAACGTAAAATCAGTGTAAGTTAATATTACAAATAAAAAGAAAACAATACCATGCACAAATTACATTTTGCACTTTAATGCATACAATGAGGCTTCCACTGCACATCTCACTAGAGCTAATTTACTGATTTGGATTTAGTCCCTCACATGTTTTCATTTTTATTTCTTCTACAGAACGTAAATTCAACCAACCGACACTTCTATTCAACGCCTTAAAAATAGTAAGCAGCGAAAAATGTACAAATATAGGCGGGTTTGACATTGTTTTCACTAACAATGGAGATCACTTTGATCCATTGTCAAGAACATTCACTGCTCCATTAAGTTCATTTTATTTAATAAGCATTCATGTAATTAAAAGCACACGTGAATCATTCAAAATTAGATGCCTTCAAAAGTTCATAGATATGCAATTTAGATGTGAAAGAACCCGTCAAATCTGCTGTGTATCTGAAAAGGGATGTGTGACATGTTTAGTTGAATTAAAAGCGACACAAAAAATATTGCTGGAATTGGAATTTCTGGAGAACAAAACCATTTGTCAAATGGAGATTCGGTTTTCATGTTTTATGATCAAACAATGAAGCCACTTAAATGTCAAAGTTTGCCGCCGTGTAATCAAAATAAAAGTAATTACCACTTTACACTCATATTTAATGCATCAGCCATATTTCTTTTAATTTATTGATTAACGATTTGCAGTATTGCTCTCTGCTTGATTTGTCAACGCTGTATATCTCTTTATAGAAAAGAGAGAAAGGATACCAAATTTGGGAATATATTTTTGGAATTAAAGTAGATCGAAAACATAAAAAAAAACTGAATTAACTGTCAAACTACAACAATAGCATAACCTACATGAACCACCGGCGAACATTTAGTGAGCTGTTCTGGAAAGTATTTGCCACTTTTCTGTTCAGATACTACAACGTTGATGACTGGTTGTCCAAAGAGCTGATTGGTTTAAATAGCTTTAGATTTTTAAAAATATTTTCTGGTTTAATTATTAGTACTGCACTTTTTTGTTAAAAACCTGTAGCTTCCATTGCGTTCAATTGACATAAATAAATGTAATTTCAAAATTCTATTAATAGTACTTAGACTATAAATAAAGTTTAAATACAATTAAATACATTTTACAATGTTTAGGTTTATGTTGATAATTTGTTAGTTGTTGCTATAACCACCATAATCGTACCACCCATTTAATGGCATACATTTTTGTTATAGCGCCATACAGCCGCCATGATTATTTATTGAACTGATAATGAACAAAAAGTTTTTATTTTCAAATAAATGACGAAAATAACAGTCTTCGACTTTTAAAATGTGTCATATACATCTTTACATGTCTCCACCCCTTGTTTATAAATATTTATTTAAAATTTAAAAAAAAAACACGTCTCCTAAATCAGTGGCTAAATGTGCACCTCGTCCCAAAATCAAATAATATCAAAATTATTTCAAAATGACCAATAGAGGCTGTACTGATGACGTTAGCTTTTTTATTTGAAAAAAACCGGCTAAAAATTGACATATTGTCTATAGACAGCCGATTCATAATATTTGATGAAACCACCTGAAAAAAAATAATTTTTTTACTATCTTCCAAATGTAAGCTCTGCTGACTAAATTAATTTATTTGTCCATATCAACTGATGGAATGAAACAAAACGATCTATGGGTTACTCTTGACATTGTTCTGTAGCAGGAGATAAGTAAACATATGAAATGTGCACGGTAATACATGGAATCGACATTGACTTTAAATTGGAGTTGTTATTATGATTACTTTTTTTGTGAGGTCTTTAATCAATTAGTTCACTTATTACTATTTGTTTCATCAATAGACGCAATGAAACTCGTGGCAGGTTATATATTAAATGGAAACACAGCTATCAAAATGATTAATTCCTAAACAATTGATCAGAGATCGACATGTTTCTAAACAATAAAATTTAAAGACATGATGTTTTAAATATTTAAAGTAAAATGGAAATAGATTGCTGAAACCACTCATTAGGTGAGATTTACCGGAATTCGTCTGACAAATAACAACAAAATCAAACAAATACGTAAACAAAAAATATCATGATGCCTGTTAATCATCAATGTTAAAAATAAAAATAAATAAATTTTGTCAGACAAATTTTATAGATGATAGTTTCAGAAAATAATAATCTGATTTAAAATATAGTTAAAACAAAAGTGTTGTTATTTAATTATAGTTTATTTTGAAGTATTTTGTTCTCTTTATCTCTATATTATTTGCCTCTTATCCAACATCCTTGCTTATCTTTTTAATTACGCAGTCCTCAATGATTTATAAAATCTATTCCTTTCATCGTATGTATTTTGATTTAAATAATTAATTTATTTCTAATTATTATTGTTTCCTGTTTATCTAAAATCAAATATTTTGATCTCAAGTTTGACTTATGTAATTGAATGTGTCTACCACTTTCTGACAACAAAACTGCACGATAAGAGTTTGTGTATCTCTATTTATCTTCGATTTTTTAATGACGGGACATCTTTTCAGACTACTTTCGAAGTTTTTTTTATCGTAGAAGGGGGCAGCAAACCATGGCCCACAAGTGCCAATTGGGGTTTGAAATAGAATAGCCGTAACATGGGCAGTATGAAGGAGAGAAAGAGAGAAGGTGAAAGGATTAATGTGTTAATATGATTGTGCACGTAAAGAAAATCTAGAACAAAAAACAAAAACAAAAACTGTAAACGTGCGGTATCTCTTGCGGCCCAATTACCTAACCACTTGTCTCCGAAGTGGTCTTTTAACAATGCAGTGACTCACAGTTGAGTCTTCGACTTAGTGGGTTGCGTTTAGGGCGCACTTCTTTGGCTAAGAAGTCCGCCCTGTCGTGTTGCGTCACTACAACGTGTGAAGCGAGAAAATGTAGGATTATTTTGCCGCCTTTGGAGTGGATTTTGCCGAAACACCCTTTTTTAAATAAAAATGCAAATTAATTTAGATTCCTCATCTCATTCCACCAAATTTTAATTGCAACCATGAGCGGTATATGCTTTACAGAACACGCTAAAATTGTTTGCATCAGGCCAGTTATTATTTCGACAATGCGCAAATTATTATTGGGTGCTTTAAGTTTGAAGTTTCTTAAGTGTAATTTCAAATGTGTCGCAAAATTGATTTTTTTTCCAATTGATGTTTACTTAATTGCTTCACATTAAAACATATTGTCCAATTTTTGTTTGATTATTTTTCATTCAAATATTTGATACAAAATTGAAAATTTTAATATAAATAGTTCCTGTTTAAATTAGTGGAAATGTGCTTCTTTCAATCAGCGTTTTGGTTAAACTTGTGACTGTAAATTTCAGGGGTCACCAACTAAAAAAAACTGAAAATTACGGATACATATTCTGAAAAGGAACATAATTTTTACCCATGCAACGTATTTGAAAATGCACAAATTAAAGGGAATTATTTATATCATAATAATATTTGAGGGATGTGACAAAGATATAAACAATCTTTAGTTTATAGTTTTATTGCCAAGGGTTGATTCGTTTTAAATAGGGTTTAACAAGAAGTTTTGACTTAGAATAATTGTTCTAAAATGTTTGAATGTTGCGACCCTGGTATAATTAACCATATTTTTTTTTTACCTACAACCAGAATAATGTAAACTAAAAATAAACGATATTGCGAAGATTAAAGTTGTTGGATGTGGATTGTTATTATAATTAAAATCAAATTTTAGAATTTATAGTTAATTTTATTTTCAACATGCATTTTGTAAACCTTTCTAATAATTTAATTAAGCACCTTTCAAGAAAGTAATTTGACCTTTTTAAAAAGAACTTAATTAATTTTTTTTTTTTAAACGAAAAAAACAGTTTACTTTTAATTAAGTGTGCATTGTAAATCAACAATTAAAAGTAACGAAAGGTCAGAGGAGTATGAAGATTTTAAAGTGGATGCAGAAAAAAAAATCATACAACATTTTGTAATGTCATTTAATAAGAATAAAGAAATTGACAAAGTTTGAAATTTAGTTTGTTGCTGATTTCTACCTAAATATATTATATTTTTATGTAGCTTTAGTGTAGTCATAATGTATTGACAAAACAGAAGTAGCAAAACAAGATTATCTAGAGGCGTTTTTTGAATTTGAAATAAGAACATTTTCAATATTAACGTAAGTAGTTTGAAAATATTTGCAAATTGTGTTTATAAAATAAATTGCTTTTCAATGACATGTTAAGGACATGCAATAATTATTTTGTAATGACAAAAAAAAAAAAAGTTATACAAAAATTATGTATTAGAAATTGAAATAAGAATAAGTATTCCAAATATGAATCAGGCGGATTTCAAATATTCAAACTTGGCAAATGAAAACTTTAATAGCGGATGGTGAAGTTCAAAATAAATAAATATTAAGCGGGAATTGGATAACTCATCCCGAAAATTGGCCAAGAAAGACTCTAAAATAAGAAACACTCTTGAAAAAATGCTCAGTTCACACTGGCACTTGAGAGGTTGAAGTGAAATACGTTGCTATGGGAAAAAAAATTAGATTATATTACATGATCGTGTTCACGTATTTGCATTTTATAATTGTGCAGGCTCACACTAATTTCCTAACGTCATGATCTCATAGCCAGACATCTTTTCTGAGTGTATGCATGTGTAGGCTTGTTGATGTGTGCTTTTCATTTGTATGTGTATTGATAAGAGTTTGCATGTAATAACGTGTGTGGATGTGGGCGTGTTGGGACCAGAGGTTAACGTTTATCACGTAAGTGATCAGGGATTTCCAATAGGTCCAGTACATCCCCCATTAGCTGGGATAGGTGTAGACTTTATGCAAAGATATCAAAGATATTTATAATCTATTTTGACAACACTATCTTTAAAGTTTTCTTAATTTTTCTAGAAATATACATTGATAAACTGATCATCGACGTAAGCCTTAACACATGAAACGTTCAATTAGAGAGGTCAATATATATGTTTACTTTACCCAATGAAACTCTGTCTCACCTTCTGGGCATTGTTCTGCATTACTTTTTCAACGTGAGTTGTAATATTGTTTTCTGTTTTAAATTAATTTAAATGTAACGTTAAATATATGATTACTTTAGGTTTACTTTTACATCATGGCTTATATTTAAATGATTCTGCAAAGAGGAAAGTAGTAACAAAACAGGTAAATACCATTTCTATTTAAACACGGAGGTATATATATATTATTATTTTTAAAAAAAAATGTATGTTATGATATTTAAGAAGATGCAAAGTAAATAAATTAGAGAAAAAATAAAAATAACCTTATGTTATACTAGGCTATCTCTTGGTCGGGCTATTTTTAACCGTATTAACAGTTTTACGTATGGATAGATAGAATAAAAAGGCAAGTATTTGGTGTATGTTTGTTTGTTGAAGTACTATACACACAAACACACACACACATATATATATATATAAATAGATACATATATGCAGAGAAAGAAAGTTAGAGAGAGAGAAAAAGAGCGATAGAAAGAGAGGGAGAGAGAGAGAAAAGGAGAGAAAGAGAGAAAGACAAAAATAGAGAGTTTGAAATATAGAGAATGAGAGAGAGAGAAATACAGAGAAAGACAGAGAAAGACAGAAAGAGAGAGAGTGAGATTGAAATATAGAGAATGATAGAGAGAAAGAGTGTGAGAGAGAGAGAGAGAGACAGAAAGAGAGAGAGAGAGAGAAAGAGAGATACAAAAATAGAATAAGATAGAGTGTGAATGCTGAGAGAAAGTTAATGAAAATAACTAATTTCACATAATTGAGTCAATCCATGCATTCATTTTTATTACCACATTTTATTTTTTTGAAAGTCCCTTATTTATTTTAATTTTTCTAGGCATATGTCTCATCTCTGAACAAAAAAGTGTTTCAGCTATAAAATTATCCATGCGGTGTTAAATAATGTATCGAATCATAAATAATAAACAATAACATTGATAATTTTGATACAAGTGACTCAATAATTACAAGCCATTCAAAAATATTTGTTTAAAAACTGTTAACTGTGAAAATATTTGAGACAAAATTTAGAAATTATATAAATTATAG